CAAATTGATTTGAAACTCTGGGCCCTATCTTGTGGCTTTAACCTTCAAACCCCTGCCTAAACTCTAAGAAAGATTTCATGATACATAATGTCATCAATATACCTTGACAGATTTTCAGCCTAACTCCAATCTCTATTGAAAATAGGCATTTTTTTAGTTCTATTGAAAATGGCCTTAAATTAACTAATTGATTTGATTTTTGCAGGCATGTCTCTAAAATGAAATCAATGAAGGCATGTGATATTTAAATAGGGGATGCTTATGACACATAACAAGTGATCATACTCGATTTGCATCATTAGAACTAAAGTATGCATGACAAGTTATACTTGGAGATATCATTAAAAAAAAGTCACTGAAATTGTCTGTCTAGGTAAAAACTTACTACTATAGAAAATGTTTTACTAGTTGATGATCTAACTCATAATCTTTTTGAGTGTAAGTCATTTATGTGGTAAGAGTTATGAAATTATTTTTTATTCATCACAATATTTAATTAAATTAAATGGCTCAAGTTGTGCTTGTTGGAAATAGAAATAATAATGTTTACATACTAGATGTTGTTCTTTTAGAGAATTTTAGAATTATATGTTTTAAAACTAGCATTGAAGATTTTTTGCTATGGCATAGAAAACTATGTTATGCAAGTTTGCACGCACTGAATAAATTTTCAAAATTAAATTTTGTGTTTGGTTTACCCAAGATTGACTTTGCATGCAAGTATACACAGGGGTGTAAACAAGTCGAACGTGAGCAAGCTTAGGCTAAACTCGGTTTGACTTGTTAAAAAATATTATTGTTCGTGTTCGGCTCGTTTATATTTCGAACACAAAATGTGTTCGTATTCAGATCGTTAGCTTATCGAGCTTGGTTGAATTTGTTGGATTCAGACTTGGCTGAATTTTGAGTTTTGCAGGGAAAGACACAACCTACAGGAAAACTGATTTTTAGTTGACCGTGATTGTCTCGTTGGCTGCAAAAAAAAAAATGTAAATCATACTCAGTAAATTCTGTTGACAGAGAAAGCAGCAGAAGAAAGGGCGGCTGAAACACTAGGGAAGAAAATATACTGCAGGAGAAATGGCCGGCTAGAAAGACAGCTCCCCCTGACGCTTTGGCAGGGAAGAAAAAAAATACTGCAAAGAGAAATGACCGGTTGGAAACACAGCTCCCCTTGACGCTTTGAAAGGGAATAAAAAAAAAACTGCATGAGAAATGGTCGGCTAGAAACGTAGCTCCCCCTGACGCTTTGGCAATGAAGAAAAAATACTGCAGGAGGAAGGGTCGGCGATGGGTTTTGTCGGCATTGTTCGATCCACGACAGTGATATCTCCGACGGAATGATGATGAGGCGGGTGACGGCATCGCTTGTGTCGCCCTGGTTGGAGCCCCATCGCTGGTGCCGGCATAGGAGGATATAACATATGAAGTTTTTGGATGGTTTGTGGTAATGTCTGACCAAACTGCAAAACATCTTTGCTATCATGGTTTCTTAGGTGTTGTAGATAGAACCCCAGAGGGAATCAGCACCGTCGAAGACCAATCGCAGAACCATAACGCTGTAGACCAGGTTGGGGCGCACGGTAGCGGAGTTCGTCAGAAGACCTCCGACGATGCAACGACGAGTAGCCCCCACGGCGTCGTCTGGACGACGGAGAATCACGGGGATGAACATCTTGCAAAGAATTAAGTAGGCGTTGATGCGGCAGGGAACCACGATGTGGATCATCAGTGTCATATCTGATGTCAAGATTGCTCCCTCCGCCATTGCTGGTTGGAGGCTTGACGACCATGCTGCTGAGGTTGATGCAGATGCGCGGACCCGAGGAAGGCAATAGGGTAACGCCTCTGGTTTGGACTCTGAGGCAGCATCAATATCGAACTCAAGGGAGCGCATCTTTGTGATTCTTTCCATGGTTGTTGTAACCTAACGAGGCGGCGGGGAATTAGGGATTTGAAGAAGAAGAAAAAATCGTTGTTTCAAATATCAAGATGAGTGTCCCTCCCTTCCTACATAGAGGATGATAGGAAGAGAATCCAACAATTTCAAAGGAGGGTCGGTGGCTAGAGTACGAGACCTGGCTCCGATACCATGTTCAAATTTAGAATAATGTGAAATACTTGATTATTTCATTAATATGAACGGGGGTATAAATAACTCTTACAAGAATCCTGTAATATGAAAAATAATAAAAAAAGGAATGATATGAAAGGAAAGATATATCACATGATATCTCCAATAATTAATCTACATTAATTATTAGGAGATATAGGAAATAACATAAAATATGAAAACAAATGATTCATAATTCAAGGAAATAAATATAAAATAGAAAAAGAAATATCTCCTTATATTAGGAAAATAATTTATTTCTCATAACTTTTTATAAGAATAAATTATTTCCTATTATAATTCTTAAAATAGAGAACCAACTGACAAGTAGATGTCCGACCAACTGATATGAGTATGCGAAGCTATATATATATATTCGATTG